ACGAAGTCAATTCTCGTGCCGAAAGCGAACACAAAACTTGTATGTATGTCAATTTTTAAAATACATTTCGGAGCGATATACATAGTTAGGATGAATGCGAAATATGCGAATTAAAATCGCTCCGATTTTTTTTTTTAAATTGATATACATACAAGTTTTGTGTTCGCTTTCGGCACGAGAATTGACTTCGTTGAAATTTTTTACTTGATATCTACCATCATCTGTTGGTACAGGGACTTGTTAGACTAGACGTAAAACTTTTCTTCAATATATCACTTCTTTGGAAAATTGAATGATGACTTTTGCAGTCATTAAAGCCGACACTAATATGTTAACCCATTAACGCCCAAAGAAATTTTTTTTTTGAAAATTTGTGGGTATTCTATTTTTTGGCCAAATATGATTTTCCCAAAGTTTCATGTCATTCTGATCAAAAAAAAAATTCGACTTTTCACGAGTTTTCCGAGAAAATGGAAAATCGGAAAATCCGGAAAATTTTGTGAAAATTCTCTCTGGACATTTGGCAACCACCCTGCAAAATTTCATTCCAAAATTCCAAACCGTTTAGCCGAAAGAAAGAAAAATGTAAAAAAAGTCACTAAAAAAATCACGAATTTCGCGTCCCAAAAATAGGACGTTGGGCGCTAATGGGTTAAACACTCCAGTTAGTCTATCATTTCTCAAACGCGTTGTTAGATTATCTTGAAGCGTTGACAATTCGGCTTCCTACTCATTTCCATGTATTGGTTAGGTTTCTTTGTGTTAGAATTTTATATACTATATACTAAACCCTGATTCCAATCTACAAAGACAGATGAATATTCATATCTTGGAAGATTTGCCGGAATGACTTCGGGTAGGGCGATTTCAATTGAAGATTTTATGATGTAGTTGAATATACCCATTTTGGAGCGGTTTTTCGATAGCCGATTACTGAAAAAAATTGTTCCTACATAAAAAAAAGTAAATACACTACATTAAACTACATAAAATCTACAATTGAAATCGCTTACCCAAAGTCATTTCGGCAAATCTTCCAAGGTTTGAATATTCATCTAGAAAGACTACTATAACTACTATTGTATGAAAATACCTTATATTGTATATACAAACGCATAGGTGTAACGAATAAATAATAAGTAATAAAAGATTTTATTACTTATTCATTTTATGTGATTATTCATTTATTCGTTATTCGTTCTTACTCGCGAATAAGAACGAATAATTATTCATTTATTCATTCAAGAAACGAATAAGAAATGTAATAAAAATTGAATAATATATGAAACGAATAAGAAGTGAATAAGAAACGAATAAGAAGTGAATAAGAAACGAATAAGAAAACGAATGAAAATTGAAAAAGAAGTTGTAAGAAGTAATAACTATTACAACTTATTCACGAATAAATGAATAATTATTCGTTCTTATTCGCGAATAAGAACGAATAAATGAATAAATATGACAAAAGTAATAAGTGAATAAAAAAACGAATAATTATTACAAAAATTAACACCTATGTACAAACGCGAAAAGATCATGTTTTTACGTTTCTTGGAGTCGTTTTCCAGTGAATCAAAATATTCATCCAGTTTTTGGCGGTGTAAATAAATAAATAAATAAATATCCAAAATCCTACATTCGAGTAGAGAAAGAAATTAAACTAAAAAGAACAGAAAATCGAAAATACTTGGATGAGAATGACTGTACGTGTACGTGTAAATATTGGTGTCAGGACAAGATTTTCTGAAGTAGAAGAAATTATAATATTTTACTTTTCATTTCAATATTTAACTTTATTTTAATTCTTTCTTTCGTCATAAAAAAGTTGGGTGATACTAAGAAAATTCTCGGACGAAATCATTCATCCTAAAAAAGTGAATTTTACATTGAAGTAAAACAATTTGAAGCAATAAGTTAGGAATATAATTCTGTGTTCTTCTCTAGGTCGGAAATCACGTGTAGTTTTCTGTTTTCCTTATTCTCCTGAGTTTAACTGAATATATGAAAATGTTGTTCGGAGATGCCTTCATCCAATATGATTAGAGATAGATCTTTCAAGTCATTTACAAAGTATCTTTTCATCGATTGCATTATCAATATACGTGCTTATCGAAAATGCGAGTACTTTGATTTTTTTATTTACAGGCAAATCAACAATATTGTGCAGTTTAATAACTAGTTATTTAAATGTTGCACTTTGTAGCGATTATACAGGGCGTATGGCGTTTTTGTCAAATCGTTTTCTTGAACTTTAATGGTGATAATATTTGGTATCTGGTCGGCTTGCTTGCCCATAAACCAGTCAGCACATTGCTTTCTCTGCTCCTCATTCACATTTTCCTCACACCATTTCTGCACAAATTTGTGGAATTTGTGAGCTCTGGCTTTTGTCACTTTTGGATGAGTCTGTTTGCGAAAATAAAAAATGGGATTAACATTTAAAAACAAGTAAATTATACGTGAAAAATGTACTTGTCTTGCTTGCCGGATAGCACTTTTTTTGTAAAAAACTGCGTCTTTGTTCACCACAAAAACCATACGATATTTCTGAAAGTTTATGTTTATCTCGGATCGATCATCAATGAAGTAGCCCTCGTTGCAGTTTTTTCCAGTGCGCTCTAAAGGCCTTGACTTGACTTCAGTAAGTGACTGACTTTTGCTAATTTCGTCTGTTGTATGTTGTTCAGTAGATGCTGCACCGATAATTGATAAGTCTGTATTGCTCACAGGTAATTCATCATTGGTATTGCTATAGAAACAATTTTTAATAAAGAAATCTTTATTATTTGAATTTTTCTTCTAAATTACAAATATCTGTCCTATACTATTTGAACATGTAAGATTATTTCTTTGTAATTTATGATTATAATAATTATATAAAAAAAAATTATTTTTGCAAATTACCTTATGTGGACTGTGGAAGAAACTGTTTCAATAACTGTATCAGATATCGATTTGGATGAATTGTCTAACTCGCTGCTTTTCTGAACTCCGTCAACATTCATTGTTGCAACGTCCGATACTGAAGTTGTTTGCACAGTTTTCGCCACACTGTCATTTATATTTTTAGAGCCTAATGTCTCTGGGGAATTCGGTGACTCCGATGAAGATGATTTTCGCGAAGAGTTTCGTAACTTGAACATTCTAATATTTCGATGTAGGAACAATTGTCTCCGGGGTAAACTTGAAATCTAAAATAGATACAAATTTGACTAAGTGCTCGTTTCAAGCAATTTTTTTAGACGTGAACAATATTTTACTATCTTCAAGATTTTTTTTACCTATTTACACCAAACTAAACTTTAAAAGTAAATCTCGTAATACAAGCACCATATAATTGATATCAAATTATGATTATAATGCATTGTTGTTGTTCCCTAATTTTTCCACCAATAATTTATGTAAAAATATCTTATTTCTATCTTAAGTTGTAATTAACAAAGGACGATATGTATTATATTGCACGACTTATTTTTCGATGATCAGTTCTGTAAGGAAATAAGAATTGTTGATGTAAGGAAATAAGAGTTTTCCGTTTTTCAATATAATATATTTTATTTCATACATTTCCCGTCTATTTAGCAATTTGATAAAATACAGGAAATTGCAAGCTACGTAAATGAAATCTTGGTCATGGTTGTTTTGAAAACAAAATATTAGACAACACATAATTAATGAAAAATTATTTACATGAAATGACAATATTTGTCATATTTTTATTCATTTCAGGATGAATTTCATTTATGTTTCTTTACATCACGTATACTCTATTAATACAATTAGTAGTAGTAGTAAGATGATAAAGTGAAAAAAAGAGATAAAATCAGACAATTTTATATGTCTTATGATATTTAAGCACGAAAAAGCTTGATGTCTTGTAGACAGCGTCTAATTGAATAATAATAAACAGAATGACGACTTTATTCGATATTGCATCTTTTGGCATAGTGTGATCGCAATTTTCATATTTCTATATCTATTTACACCTCTTGTTTGACCTGGTACGGGAAAATTGTTAAAGAAAAACAATTGATTAGTACCACAATAAAGAGATAAAGTATACTATAAATATAATAGATTATTATGGGCAGAATTAGCTCCTAATCAATACGGAATCCATCGTCATAATCTACCGAAAACTGATAATTTTGTTCATGCCCGTAAGTTCAGGCTTGAAGGAAATTCAATGAATTTCTAATCTCAACACGTAGAGTTCAAGAAATTGAACAAACATTAAGGAGAATATCATCAGCAGGTTGTGCTCAAAAGATTAACAAATAAAATAACTTGTGTGTCCTTGTGTATACAGTGCACCCCCGCAAATTAGAAATAAAATGTTCCGAGACCATTTCTAATCTGGGGGGTTTTCTAATTTCTGAGGATTTTTCAATTTCATCCAAAAACGGTGTATCAAATGAAAAACTGATAGGGAGAATGATTTGCTTAATTGAAAACGATATATTGAACACTGTTCAATCAAGTATTGTATGTAAATAAATGCTTATAAGCAGTTATTTTAGTGATTATAAATATATAGTAAGTCTGTTAGTTTATTTTACTGGATAAACTACTCCTCGGAACAAACCGAAATAAATGATGACCGGCTGTTCTTATTATATCATACGATAGTAAACAGAAAACGTTAGCATTCTATATAGAAAATTTTATATGCAAATTCTCTGATGGAACAAATCGGTTTCGATTTGTTAATGATTGATGATTTATGATTGACGCAGACAATATGGAACAGATTACTCTTGACTTAATTTTTAACTTCATGGTAAACGTCGAAAATCTCGAGCTGATCTGCTAATATAGTTATTCAACGAAATGGAAAAGACTTTCATTACGTTTTTTCATTAAAAATGAAGTTAATTTCCCTTTGTCTTGAATGAAATGATTCGGAAACCCCGTAAATTAGAAATGAACCCCGGAAATTAGAAATTTTCCATTCAAATTTTCAAACCTGAAATTCATTTCTAATCTCTGAAGTTTTCTAATTTTCGGGTTTCTAATTTGCGGGGGTGCACTGTATATACAGCGCATTTGAACTGTTGAGAATAATCGCTACACTTTATTTCGAGGGTCAAACGAATTTCGTCATAAAAAACCCCAATTCTGAATAAAATATCCGAAAATTGTAATAAATTTTCCGAATAAAGACCTAAAAAATCCCGAAAAATATACTAAAAGTACCCGAAATCCGACCTAAATTTCCCCCAAAATCGTCCTAAATTTCCCCCAAAAATACCATGAAGTACTCCCCAAAATCGTACTAAATTATTCAATAAGACCTAAAAATGCCCGAAAATTGTACTAAACACCTATTTTATTACTGAAAATATTGTGTTGACTAAGTATACGCCCAGTTCATTTCAATAGAAAAAAGGTAATTTGTTGTCATGATACTCAATTTATTGGCACATTTGTTATAAAATAAATAGTAGAAACCGCGATCTTATTAATTTTGGTGTTCAAGAGCTTTTTTTGCAGCTGTTACTCGCCCAGCGTTTCGTTTATGTTGATTAACGATTGGAATAAGTTCCCAGACCACAACGCAGTTGATTTGAATGAAAAGATAGCCGATCCAGAATTGGTGCAATTCTTGAAGGACTTGATGGCATATAATCCAGAACAACGTTCTACAGCAAAGTTGGCATTGATTCATCCTTTCTTGAATCGCCTTCAGAGGGAAACTTAGTTGAAAAGAAGATCTCGGTTGACTATCGGTTACTTTGTGTGAAAAAAGCAACAATTTGAAATTTAACACCACAAAACCGTTTCAATTTACTTACGTGAATCTATTGTGAATTCAATTTTTTTATTTATTATTCTGCATTTATCGTCATATTTTGTCGCATTTTCATCTTTTTTTATGATTATAATACACACAGACTCAAGGCAAACTGTTTCGATACAAGGAGTAATATAAAAAGTAAGAATGAATAAATAAGATCTCGGTTGCAAAATCTAAAATTTTTGACGATAAAAATATGAAATATATAATGGTTATAAAAATATAACCTTGAACGTCTGTGTATTATTTTTCGATATTTTGATATATTTCGTAGAACTTTTGTGGCTTTTGAATTTTATTACAATTTTTGGGCAATTTTATGTCAGTTTTACAGTCTATTTATGTTCCTCGGGATAAAATTTATCCCGAGGTATAAAATTTTTGTCCGATTTGGTATAAAATCAATTTATGTTGACAGGGATAAATATTTTTTACCTCAAAAATTTGATCAGGCTAACAATACTGTTAAATAGAGATGATTTTCAAGCTCTCTGACATTTAGTACGTTATTTTTTTCATTACTCAGGTTCTTTTGCTTGGATTTTATATCCAAGGTATAAAATTTATACCACCTGGGGATAAAATTTATACCGATATTATATTTATCCCTCGGATTAATGCAATTTATCCCTCGGGATAAGAGTTATCCCCCGGAAATTTACGACCATGTCGGGACATGGTCGTAAATATTTATTCCGGAGGTGTCAGATCGATCAGAAACAGATATCATTTCTAATCACACCAACACTTATGACACGTTTAGAAACGTCCAGAAAAGTTGAAAAAGGTTGGGAAAAAGTGTTCTTAAACGATTTTGTACGATTTTGTCGTATTAGTACTTTACCAAATTGAACATTCGGCTCATATTTTATAACCGTCAATACATTTGTTGACAGTTTTGCACATTAGATAATATTGTGATCACTCTATCTGCCGCATTGACATTTCATGTGCTACTACATCAATTGCATTCTTTCTTTTCGCCTTTTCATTCGTGAAATGTGTGAGTGACACACGCAGACAACTACAACAGCATGTAGGAGTCAGATGAAAAAGACGCATATTATAGGAGTTGTCGGTAAGGCAGAAAGAGATCACAATAATGCTCAATGAATAGACTGCGCCTCTTTCGACAAAAGTTGACGTATTTTGGGAGCAAATAGCCTATTTGTTTCAGAATCATGAGAAAAGAACATTCCAACCAGAACTGTGCAAAAACCTTTGATTGGAACCTGGCGCATCTTGTATATCGCCTCGAACAATTCATTTTAGTCAATTCTGATGGAATATACACTTTTTACTCGCTGCTATCGTATTTTTTTACCATATTTATTGCTTCGTGACCTTAGAATTGAACTAATTTAACACAAATAAACAATACTAAATCGATTTCACATCGATTTTTGATCATTTTTAGCAAATTTTTGACAATTTTGTATAGGTGGTACCCGTAAACCCTCCTTCCGAATAGCTTCAAACTTTCTCGCATTTCATTTTTCGGCGAAAAAATGAGATTCCGAAAGTTTCATGCTGATCGCATTTGCACAAGTTTGGTTTTGGCCCAATAATTTTATCTGAAATTTCCTTGAACTTCTACTTCGGTTATAACATTTCAATGCGAATTCCCAATAAACTAATAAACATAATTAGACCACATCAAACATGTGTTTTCCGATGGCTGAGCATCTCAGCATTTCGTATGGGCCAAGGGCAGTGTCGAACCGGATCTGGTCCATCCTGAAGATCCACTTCCAGAACTGGGAGCAGTTCTGGTCGATCCTGAGGATCCACCAAAACCCACTTCCAGAACTTGATGATTAAGATTATTAAGATTGAATGTTGATAAATTATCAGGATTCGATCTTGATAACTTCCAAAAGATATTATTAAGATTCATCCGATAACGTTATTATTTGAATATAGTTAATATCCTGATAAAAAGTTGATAACGTTATTAAGATTCCATCATAATAACGATATCGAACGATATTTTTAGTTTATTACGATATCTTGATAAAAAAAAAATCGTGAGCACAGCTATAATCCCAAAAAGCCTCAACTTAAGGATTTTTCGATGAAAAATGGATTTTTTTGAGAGTTGGAATCGAACCAATCGAATATGAGGGTAGAGCTATGTGAAAACATGACTCGATTTGGTCGTGTAAGTATCCAAAATGTTCATAAAGGATTATACTAGATATTCAAAGTCAGAAAAGATAGAAATCGCTTGCTTTTATCTGTCAAACCGAAGCTCATGTTCGTGATTTGCTCATTTTGGTCTGAAATTGGTCTTTTATGTCTGTTGACGCCAAATTCCATCCAAATCGCAATCTGACAACTAACCAAATATTTGTACAGGTTCTGGCTAAACGATACAAGTCAAAGACTGAACAAAAGTCTACCACCTGGATGACTTATATGGGTCAAATGTAAAAAATGCCGAAAATTTGAATTTTTTTTATCATTTCACACTGTAATTGGCCCAGAATGCATTTTCATGGGCTAATGTCTGGCAAAAGTTATATATATTGACGAGATAAACAAAACCCTATCATCAATTTTTGCCGAAAGTCGTTTGGAAAAATTATTTTGGTCGAAATGTTGCGATCTAAAATGGCTTCCGAAACGAGTGGAATGAAAAAATGAATAACTCTTGTGGAAAGTGGTTTTTTTCTACGTTTTCCAAGTTTTTGATGTCAAACTTATTTTTTTGAGGGCAATTTTCGAAATTTATATGAATATCTCAGGAAAAAAAATTCTGGACCAGTCTAACATCACATGCATCTGTATTATGAATTTTTTACAGAAAAACCACTTCTGCTTTCATTTACATACAACGAGAACTATTAAAACATTTATTTTTCATATGTTCAGCATGAATTTTTGTCCGAGGGATAAGTTGCGATTTTTATCCCTCGAAATTTATCCCTCGGTATAAATTGCATTTTATACCCCGGGATAAATTTTATCCCGAGGAACATAAATAGACTGTTAGATAAATTTAGTACGATTTTGGGGGCGATTTTTATTACAGTTTTGGGGAAATTTAGGACAATTTCTGGATTTATTTAGGTCGGATTTGGGGTATTTTCAGTACACTTTTAGGGGTTTTTTAGTACAATTTTCGGCAATTTTAGTACAATTTTCGGATATTTTATTCACTTTTTGGGTTTTTTAGGACGAAATTAGTTCTAATTTTCGGGTTTCTAATTTGCGGGGGTGCACTGTATATACAGCGCATTTGAACTGTTGAGAATAATCGCTACACATTATTTCGATGGGATTCCAAACTGTGATTACCAGAAAAGTTTTCAGGATTCACGTTTTTCTACATGCAATAGCGTCCCGCCTATATGAGCAGGTTTTTCATGACTCTTGAAATCATTTTTCTGCAAAAGACAAAATATTCAGCCGGTATATGGCGGTGTCAATAAAATGAAATGAAATATTATTCCTAGCGGTTCATATTTAAATTTG